CATATTACCCATAGCAAATAAATATTTCATTGATGTGAATATTGCTTTTATATCGATTAGTAAAACTGAAAACATTAAAACAATAGTCCAGTTCATTTATCCAGTGATTGATTGAGTGAAAATTTTCCTTGATATATGGATTCACATTCAAGTACTTGCATTTAGGTATCTAGACATGGACAAGAAAACCTGCTGGAGTTCAAACTGTGCATCAGAACAGGTCTCTTAAAGGTGATTTAAGTGACCTTGAACGTGGCATGGTTGTTGGAGCACATGAGACAGTCTTTTTTTTTTTAAACTGCTGATATACTGCACAACCAGGAGAAAATATTCTTTGAGCAGCAGTTGTCTGAGACAAATTGTTTGATGCCACAGATCAGAGGATAATGGCCAGACTGTCATGTTTCGGCTGTGTGCAGGCAGGAGACGACCCAAATGCAAACTCACGGGGAGTAAACTCAAAAGCACAGCTTTATTGCTGGGAAACAGGCGATACGACAATACAAAACTAAACTGGGAAAAACTAATTATAATATGCACAAGAAGACACAGCGAGAATCACACACAGCTATGAGGGACGACGCGACGTGGAACAGAGGGTGATTCTGACATAAATATACAGAAGGTAATGAGTGAGGTGGGAACATATGGGAGCACAGCTGAGGACAATTACGCATAACAAGACAGGGAGGATACGGAACTGAAAATACTAACCCAAGGTGCAGACCTTAAACGTAACACAGGGAGAACACAGAGACACAGACAGGAGGGGAGAGAGAGCACGGAGAGAGGACTGACATCATGGGCAGGGGAAACATGGGACAAAACACGAGGGGAAACAACGCACAGGAGCTCAGAATTATATAAACACAAATATACAGAGGGAGACGTAGGAACAATTACACAAGGAAATCTGACAACCAATAGCTAAACATAACAACCTAGGGACTAAAACGTTAAACTAACAAGGTGGACTCAAACCATAATACAAAATAACAAAACACAAAAATTCAAACTGCTGGGTCATAAGACCCAGGATCATGACACAGACTTCTTTGAGCTGATAGGAAGACAACAGTAAGCCAAATAAACACTTGCTAGAACCAAAGTATGCAGAAAGAGCACCTCTGAAGGCATGATTTGTAGCAGATGGGATACAACAGCAGAAAATCACTAAGGGTGAATCTCCCTTCAGATAAGAACAGGAAGTGGAGGCAATTCACACAGTATCAGCTGTTCAGGATGGTGCTGGTGTAATGGTGTGGGGGATATTTTATTGGCACACCTTTGATCCTTCAGTATCGACTGAGCACTGATGAAATACCACACC